ATGATTAGTGGAAACGAGAAGCAAACAAATTAGCACTAATGGAAAATGGCTTTTGGAAAAGAGAATTTAATTTATAGTCAGCCGATCATGGAATGCAGTGGGCAGTAAAAGTCAGCTTCACCAGCTTGATCAGGAGGGCCAGAGCACACATGGAACACCAGAGGAAAATATCCGGATGCTGTCCTGCTTATTGGAGTCTCTCTGTAAGTGGCAGCCAATTACAATAGTTATTATTTTACCTTGGAGAGCAAATGGTATGAAATATCATAGCATATGAAATTAAAATCCAGATTAGGAATATTGGTCCAAATTGGTTTGTTTGTGGCCTTTTAATCTTGGCAAAGTCTTCTGCAAGAATGACCAGATTCTGTCTTCTGCCCAGAATGGACCCTTTGATTTTAATTTCCTCTCCCTCTTCAGAGGTGATTAATAAATCGAGTCTTATCTGCAAATCATTTCTATTGCAGCCAAATGGTTCTTCTTCATGCAGGGGAACTAAAATCACAGAATCTCAAAAACCCCAGCTCTCAACCTAAGTCAAGGGCTGGTAGCAACATCTGAGGGGAGGGGAAGTTTTAGCAATTAGAGAATTGAGGTCCTGTAATCTCAGCAGTTAATAGGCTGAGGCAGGAGCACTACCACAAATTCAAGGCCACTCTGGCCTTGTAGCAAGTACCAGGCCAGCCAGGGCAACATAGCAAGGCACTGTCTCAAAAAGTCCTAACCAAGTCAAACAAACAAAAAACAACGAAGAGGTCTACAGACCTTGTTCCTAAATAAAATTTGCTAGACAGCTCCCCTCATGCCCCTGAAGTCATAAAACACATCTGTAAAAGCAAGAAGCCACCAAGGTTATGAGTTATCAATCTGGCTCACTGTCTCCAGGTAGCTTCAATGCCTAGAAGGTAACCACTGTCTCTGTTCCTGGGGCTTTCACAGGCAGAAAGAAATGAAACCATCTCCTTGGACCCTTGGCTCTGATTCCCCACTCTCTGTTCTCCAAATAGACATAGGTAAAGTCATGAATCACTTAAAGATGGAAATATGCTTGAAAAATTCATGTTATGAATTTATGTTCTTGTGTGAACATTAGAGTGTAATTTCATAAGTATACACCCTCAGACTATATGGTATAGCCTGAAGGGACTAGGCCACAGATCTATACAGCCTGCTGCTGTACTGTAGGCAATCTAACACAATGGCCATTGCATATTTAAATACAGAAAAGGCACAGTGAAAATATGGTAAGAGGCTGGGAATGTAGCTCAGTGGCAAAGCACTGGTATGTGTGAGGCCCTGGGTTTTATCCTCAGCATAGGCATAAATCAGTATAAAAGACGTAAAAGGTCAGGTGTGGTGGTACATGCCTTTAATGCCAGCACTCAGGAGGCAGAAGCAGGTTGATTTCTATGAAACAGAGACCAGTCTGGTCTATATAGCAAGTTCCAGGCCAGTTGGGGCTACAGGGAGATCCTGTCTCAAAAAAACAAAACAGAAAACAAGTAAAACTGATACACCGGCATAGGGCACTTACAAACAAGCCTGTAGGACTGGCAGTTGCTGTGTCAAACAGTGAGCAGGAAGCAAAGGCCTTGGACATTACTCTATGTGACTTAGATTTTTTTTTTTCTTTTTGAGACAGGGTCTCCCTGTAGCTCCAGCTGGCCTGGAACTCACTATGTAGACCAGGCTGGCTTTAAACTCACAGAGATCCTCCTGCCTCTGCCTCCCGAGTGCTGGGATCAAAGGCGTGTGCCACCACCACACCTGGTTGTGACTTAGATTTTATAAGTACTAGGGTATACTAAATCTAGAAACATTTGTATTTCTTAAATAATAAATTCACCCTAAAACAAAGAACAATGGCTTGGCATGGTGACATAAGTTTTTAATCCCAGTAGAGGCAGGTGGATCTATGTGAGTTGGAGGCCAGCCTGGTCTACATAGCAAGTTTAAGGCCAGCTGTAACTACAGAGGAGGTTCTTAGGACAGCCCAAAGTACAGAGAGAACTTGTCTCAAAATAGAAGAATAAAAATAACAAAAAAAGAAAATTTCAGTTCTATTATGATCTTACAGGATCACTGTATATACACATGTGGCCCACTGTTAACTAAAAAAATTGTTAACTGAACAGTCTACACTTGCAGCTCAGCCAGAGTGCATGTCATCCTTACCTTTACTTCCACTCCAGGAACCCATGCGCTCCAATCTGTCACTTCCCTTTTATAGACCCTCCGCCGTTCCTCACTCCTATCCTTTACACAGACCCTTCCTGCTACCAACCACCTCTTAACAGGTGCTACCTGCCCTCCCACATCTGCCCTTCCCTCCCTCTCTCCTCACAGACCTTCCTTAACCTCATTCCCTACCCACAAATCCCACTTTTGCTTTTCCCAGACTTAACTTCCGCCTCTAACTCCATTCCCTAGACGTACCATCACGCTTTCCCTACAAAATAAAACTTGAGATCCACACACTCCACCCTCACTGTCCTCCCGGGCCTGTGCTTCATTTCTTTACTTATCTCCTACCCTTCCTTCCCTTTCCAGCCTCCTAACTCTGCCTTTGACAACTCCTGTTCTTCGTTAGTTAGATTTCCCGTACTCTCAGCTTCTGCACAGGCTCTCTGCACAGCTCTAGCCAGTGTCAAGGCTGGGGCTCCTCCCTGGTGGAGGCTGCTTCTACTTTCATACCCCAAGGGTTAGGAGTGGGCTGGTGTCTCCTCACCAAAGCCCAACGTAGTTTCTTATCCCACCTCCTCTTTTGAAAACCTTTGCAACTTTGATGGTCAGGGCATTCAGCTGTTTTGAACTTTGCTCCGCATGCTGTCATCTAGAGATACCAGAATAACCTGCTTTATTCATCAAAGATGAACATATAGGGACCCAGCAGATAACTCAGCTAGTAAAGGTACTTGTCACCAAGCCTGATGACCTTAGTTTGATCTCCAGGACCCATGTAGCAGAAGGAGAGAACTGACTCCCACAGGTTGTCTTCTGATTTGCACGAAGGCACAGTGCCACATGCACATATACAACATCTAATTTTAAAAGAACTAGTATCTAGCTCACAGGCATGCTCTTCCCTTTCCATCTCAAATCCTGACACCATCCAGGGGGATTCAGTGGTCATGTCAGCATTCTGTTTCTTGGGCTCTACTTTGGTCAGTTATCCCCATTACTACACCCTGAACCTTGTCATCACCTGGAACTATTTAAATCACATTACTCGCTTATTCAACTATTTCAAGATGGAGGCTTTCTGACTCCATGGGACATCCAGTCCGCAGTGCTTTTTCTGCCTATACACTTTCAGTGTTCAGCTAACCAGTCTTTTGCCAGATTCCTCACCTTCCTTGTCCTTCCTCCTCCCACTGCATCCTCCTGATAAAATCACTGACTGTTGCTGGGGGAAAACAATGCACAGCCGTGTGGACCGCCACTGCTGTCAACTTCAATAGTGACATACAATAGCCCGGAACCCCTCGGTTTCCTTAGGTCCTTGCTCTCATTCCTGACTGCTGCTGTCTACTCCTCCCGACCTTGCATGCCATCTCCAAGCCCCACTCTCACAGCCCAGTAAGTACCTAGTTCACAAAGAATTCTCTCAGTTTCCTGTTGCCAGATGTACCAATGTCCTATTATCAATAGGCATGCTTCCCTCTGTCACAATTTAAATGTTCCTCCACCTTTGTGTATGTGAGGGTGTGCACATGTGCACGTGCGTTCGGAAGCCAGAGGCGATGTTGGGTGTCTTCCTCTATCTCTCTCCACCTTTTTATTATTTAAAAATTATTTTTATTTTATTATTATTTCTATATGATGTATGTGTGTGGGAGGGTATGTGGCACAGTGAGAGAGAGAGAGAGAGAGAGAGAGAGAGAGAGAGAGAGAGAGAGAGAGAGAGAATAGGACG